TTCTGAAAACAAGGGGTTTAGGGTTTAGGGTTTAGGGTACCTTATTTTGGGATCCTTATAATAAGGATCCTAGTATTTAGGGTACTATATTCGGGTTCCCTATTTTCGGAAACCCCCCAAATAACCATCAACGATCGAAACCTCAGAAGGCCCCACAACCACCTCTGCAGCATGCCGAAACAAGCACCGAAATCAAGCGAAAGTACCCCCAAACCCTAAAAGCCTAAACCCTAAACCCTACGTCCAAAACCCCAAAACAGTGGCAGATCGCAACCAAGCAGCGCGCAGCGGCTGCCCCGAAGCCGTCTGTATCTGGCTTCCCCGAGGCTGCGGCCTTCTGGCATGGGGACAGCTTCCAGCTCTAGCCTTTTAATGAAGGGTTCTCTCAAGGCTTCTTCAAAGGGCTCCTTTAAGGGCTACTATAAGGGTTTGCGGTCGCGGCCTTAATACATTAGAAGAGGGTTTTGGGGCCCATTATACTTTAGGTATGATAAGGAATTAAGGGTTCAAAAACCTATACCCGAAAATCTGAACCGTTTAAGAGTGTCGGTTTAGGGCTCTCGTTCTTGAGGCTTAGGTTCTGGCGGTTGAGGTGTGGACATGATTCTCTTTCAGTCCCGCGAAACCGATCGTATGGAGCTGCCCTATCTTCAGACCGCGCCAATCCACGGAACAAGACAGAAATTGAACTCGAGCTGAATGTTTTTGTAGCTCCCATCAAGCCTGATCCTTACGTTTCAATAGCGTTAGGCCCAATCCGTCTCAGAACGGAAGCCGAACAGGCCTGCAAAAAAGCCGCCTACTTGGAGGTTCATGGGAAATGATAACTGGGGTTATAAGTAGGGTAACTATACATATAACCCATATTAGGGGACTTCTAACCCCACTTACAACTACCCAATAACCCTAAGCCCTATAGAACCCAACCTCCAAGCATCAATCGAATTACTCAGGAAAGCACCTTGACTGCCCGCAGCAGTCGGCGGATCTGCAGCCTCCACATGCGAACGAGTGCTAAGGCTTCAGGCACCTACATGCCATAACGAAGGCCCCCACGTGCTCCTGCATGTATCTATGTATACCCTGGGTTTAGGGTTTAGGGTTTAGGGTTTAGGGCTTAGGGCCTAAACCCTAAACCCTAAACCCTGAACCCTAATGTATGTATGACCAAACCACGACGGTGAGCCGCTTTGGAGGCCCTTAAGCTTCAGACTCTTCTTCCGCTTCCGCTCAATTGGCTTGCCTTACTTCTAGGTAGTGTAAGGGCCTTCATGATTAGAAATGATTAGAATAAGTAGAATAGGGCTTGGGGGCATGTCATACTATACCTATCATAAGGAACCCCCCAAGTAGTATAGGTAATGATTAAGGCCCCCATGGTAGGGATCTTTTTGTTCTTCAGGTTCATGCACAGCACCTGCACCCGTGGTGGGCAAAAACCACGCCACAACTAAACCACCCCAAAGCCCTAAGCTCCAAACCCTCCCAAACCCTAAGCCCTAAACCCTAAACCCCAAACCCTCCTAAACCCGAAACCCTAAAACCCTCCTAAACCTAAAAAGCCCCCAGGGGCCCTTTTCTTACGACTTCCCGCCGCGAAGCCGCGTCAGGCCGATCTCGGCCAGGTCTTCGATCTCCAGCTCGGCGACCTCTGAAGCAAAGAGGGGCCGCAAGCCCTAAACGGTTTAGCGTCTAAGGGTTTAGGGGTTAGGGTTTAGGGTTTAGGGGTTTAGGGCATAGGGTTTAGGGTTTTTGGTTTGGGGGTTAGGGTTCAAAGGTGATCAGGGTTTAGGGAAGTTGGCGAATTCAGGAAGTTTGGGGTGACGGGAGTACCAAGGTCCGAGCGAGCAATAGGAGCTCAGCCTGGCAGGGCCTGAATACAAGCCCCAACTAGATCCAATGCTTGACCATATTCCGCCCGGATTTCTCCAGAAGCTTCTTGCCCCATATCCCCTGTAGCGCTCTATAAAGCCGCTTGCAATAACACTCCCTTCAACCTTGCAGAGGTCTAGAAGGGGATTTCCGAAAATAGGGGACCCTAATATAGTACCCTAAATAGTAGGATCCTTATTATAAGAACCCGTAAATAAGGTACCCCTTATTTTCGGAAACTCCCATAAAGACCTCCTGAAACCCATAAAACCTCGCCTCCGCGAGCCGGTGGACGCCCAGAGGCGCGTGGAAGCCCGGAAGCAGGTGACCCAACTCGAGGCTCTGCAGCGTCCTTGGGGCAGCCGCCGGATGCTCTATCTTTGGGTTTAGAAGGCCGCTCTTGCTTCGGAAAAGGAACAGCCAGTTGTGGCTTTGGGATGTCGGAGTTGGGGATTTTCGGGAAACTGTTTGGAAGCTTGGGTCAGCACAGGCACAGGGTTTATTTTACCGTTTCCGCAGGGCCTCTCTCGGGGGTTTGGACTTGATTCGGAATCGGTTCCTACAACGGTCGCAACGACAAAAATGCATGCTGTTGCCGATGGACTTGTCGCCGACGTCCATTCGCAAGGTAGTTCACATGGCAACTAAGCCTGGCATTAGTAAGAACCCAACTCCCCGACCCTCCGGACGTCTTCGACATCTGTTGTGCCTGCCAGCACTTGCGTCGACACTTCTGCATGCCTGCCAGCATACAGGTGTAAGGCATCCAAGCTGCTGTTCACAGATTCTTTATATCTGGCGCCAGTCTCCATGAAGAAAATTGCTCGTCCCGCTAAAGGCATCGTCCCAAGTATTGATGGGCGAGAGAGCTCAATCGAGTCAGCGGGACACCCTGAGATTTGGCATCTTCCAGCAGTGAATGTGCTGCCTGCAACCGCTCCAAGCTGAAATGTCCGATGCGTTCGGCGACATCATCTACCGTCCACGCGTTTCGAAGCTGGCCTTGGAAAATCGCTGACAAACTCTCTTCCGCAAACAGGGTGTTGGGCTGAATTCCATGCTTGTACATCTCAGCGAGCAAAATTTGGATTCTCTTCAATGGAGCTGCTGTGTGTGAGCCCATGAGGCTTCCGAACGTTACAGTATTCGGCTGCACATCACTCTTCAGCATTTCGCTCAACAAGTACATGGCTGCAACGTGGCGCTTGTTGTCATGAGAATTTTTGCACGCAGTGATGGCGGATGTGTAGTGCAACTCATTGCATGGAATGCTTCGGTTCTGCAACAATTCCAGAACGTCTGCAGCATCTTCAATATCGCCCATCTCGGCTGCAGCATCGATCCGCGCAGCGCCACGGAACTTGTCCAGCCACCCTCTTTGGAGGACTTCGTCCCAAATGACGCTGACATTCGACTTGTCCCGCAACTTGCCAAAAATCTTAAGTCCATGCAGCAATGTCACCATATTTGTCTCAACTTTGCCTGAAGTTCTTACCTGCATGTACATCGCCGCAGCTTCTGTGCATTTCCCACACCGATATGCCGCATGCATAGCGGCACCATGAACTGGTGGTGCTACGCCGGTGTAGCCGGCGTAGAGTCGCTTCACCTCTTTCCAACCGTCGCTCCCACCTCTGCGGCCAGCATTTCTCAGTCTGCTTGTCAAAATCTTTTCGCTGGCTGACATAGCGTAGTTGCGGCCAGGTACAGGTTCGCCTTTGCCCGTCCCGGTGCGCTCCCTGAAAGCACTCGCACCGCGCTGCTTGGGAGCCTCTTTGCGAGGCTTTCTCTGCGCCCCCGGCTTGCCAGGAGGAGAGCTGAAAGTGGTCCGGTGCAAAGATGCACTCCACAAAGAAACAGCAATTGCCAGCGAAATGGCCCAGCGCAACATCAGGCATCAGGCATCACTTGCAAGACGAAGTTCTACAAATCCGGCTACCAGTTCGAATCTTCTGGCTTTAGCATCCTGGCTGTAAGATAAATACTGTCGTGTGAACGTAGACAAGACTTCCAGACAAAAGAACTTGTGGCCCTTTTCAGCCCCATACGAGACCTGCTCCCTCAGAACCGCTAACACCGGTTGTAGTATAGTTGCTCTACACGTCGACATGTTCTTAATGATAATGTAGGGGCCTTAACAACTTGAACAGGATTTTTGAGGTTCCTTATAGCAAATATAGTATGATATACCCCCAAGCCCTATTTTTCAAGCATTACCTATAGTCTCCATTGTAGTTCCTTTTTTGGTTTAACCAAATATATACGAGCGAGTTCATAAGGTATCCCCAAAAGGAACTACAATGGAGACTATAGGTACTTGGAGGATCATGGGACTTAGTAACTAGGGTTATAAATAAGGTAACTATAATCATAACCCCAATTAGGGGTTCTTATAACCTTACTTACTAAGTCCCATGATCCTCCAAGTACAGTCCGGACCATCTTTCATCTGCAGTTCAACAGGGAGACGAAGGAAGCTAAAATGAAATGCAGTGCCCAGAAGTCTGCTGGCAAGACTCAGCGCTCCCAATCCATGTCTCAGCTACCAGCTACCATTGTTCATGAGGTTGGCGCCTCCACACTTTGGACTTGACATAAGACTGTTGATTGTGCTGGCGACCTTCTATGAATGTTTTTCCCGGTTTGTCCAGCCCAGTGGCAAGGACGTGGCATCCGCGGCTTTGGATGATGGCATCCTGGCTGCAAGCTCCCCCGACCCCGAGCAGCGACGTGCCGACATGCTTTCGGGACAACCTCGGAGGGGCCTTGGCACCTGAGGAGCTCTGGGAGATGTGCCTTGAGGATAAAAAGTTCGGAGGGTGCTCACTAAAACGAGTGAGAATAGTGAGAATATAGGAATAACAATAATCAACAACAGTAAGAATAGCTCGCAACGCGCAAGTCCCACTCGTGCACATGAGGCTTTGCGTCTCTGAAGCCCCCGCACGCTTGCGAACTGCCTCAGCCTCAAAACCCAAACTCGCCGACGGAAGGCCCTAAACCCTGAACCCTAAACCCTAAAGCCTGAACCCTAAACTCTAAACCCTGAACCCTAAACCCTAAACCCTAAACTAAACCCTAAACCCCTGAACCCTAAACCCAAGCCGGGAGCACCTCCGGGTGAGTTGCCATGCCCCGCGCGACGATGTCCAAGAGCCCTGGCTTCGGCAGGTTTTAGGATTCAGGCTTTAAATTTAGGGTTTGGGGTTTAGGGTTTAGGGTTTAGGGTTTAGGGTTTGGGGTTTGGGGTTTAGGGTTTAGGGTTTAGGGTTTGGGGTTTAGGGTTTAGGGTCTAGGGTTTGGCTTGCTGGGTCTCTTGGGACTTAATTGTGGGAGCCTTACTAACACTGTGAGCATGGTACAGGGGGTTCTTGTTCATCGCTTCATCACTCCGTCACGACCCATTCTGATCACAATATTGCAAATGGCAAGGTCTGGATTTGGAAACCCTAAACCCTAAACCCTAAACCCCTAAACCCCTAAACCCCCCCTAAACCCTAAACCCTCAACCGTGTTTAAGGCAGCCTTGACCTTAAGGCCCTGAACATGAGGGTTTAGGGTTTTAGGGTTTATACGGGTTTAG